CGCTTGATGAACTGTCGGAGCATTACAGCTACCGTAATCAAGAACCTCGCGGAGTCTGACAGAGTTTGGGCAGAAGCTGAACCGCATCAGCGTACAAGGAGCAAGCTAATTTTTTATCAGTGTTTATAGTTTATGCAAATTAGCCATGTGGTTTTAAGTTTTGTTTCTGTAAAACGTAAACAAATGTGCGCAAAGCTGCATCAAACACATTATTACTCAATGTATATTTGAGTCGACCTTGTAGGAAATAAATAAAAAAAAAAAAAACTTAAATCATCCATCTACATTCACATTCATAATCCACATTCACCAAGACAGGGAGGCAACACCGGGCGAATTACGCCACGATCTGCCAATGGATCGTGGACGCCTGGACTAAGGGATCAACCTCAAGTGTCGTCCGTTTGTTTCACTTAATGTACCTTATAATCCAGTGCACCTTATGTATGAAAATAGACAAGAGAATTCAGCGTTATTGATATTGCGCCTTATAATCTGGTGCGCCTTATAGTCCGAAAAATACGGTAATAACATCTTATTGTAGATCCATGATTGAATCTGATCAGATGAGCAAAGATTGTCGCCAAAACTATGATATGTGTCCCACTCAAAGCTGGGAAATGATAGAGTCAAAATCCCGGACATTTTGGGATAATTTAGAAATTCCTCCCAGATGTTTTTTTTGGGTCAAGTCTGGGAAAAAGAGGACGCCTGGTCATCTAAATTCACAAATATGTAGAATCAAATAACTAATCAAATAATTTCAAACCTACTGGGCACAAAAACTGCACTAGAAAAGTAAAAGAAAACTAATTATCTCAAAGAAAACACAAACAAACAAAAAAGTGAGAGTACCCAGCCGAGGGTCTCAGTGGGGTAATCGCTCCTTTGGCCACGTATGACCGTAGAGCTGGTGCGAGCGTGAGCCTGCCGCCAATAAGCATTAAGTGAAATTACGCTGTCCGAATCGCAGCCAAAGAAGTCTCAGTCAGTTTGTGCTGTGGTGGCACAAACAGAGCGCCCGGGCACAGGCTGGCACAGAGGGGCCAGTCCTGTAGTTTATTTAATTACACAGAGACGCTAATTACTGAGGAGCTAAATGTCTACAGGGCTGGGGACTGTTTAAAGGTACCAGAGCTGCACAGGGGGAAGAGCCGAGGAACTAGTGGTACTGAAAAAATGCTGCTACTGAAATTTGTTAGTAGAAGATAAAGTTACTGCGGAGTGTCATCAAAATTATGTAATAAAAGGGGAAAAAAATCACCAAATAATACTGAATAGGTACCGAAAAAGTGTTGTTCAAGTCAGTGGCGGAGTTAGCAATTTGGGGGCCCAATGTGATCTTGAGTTTGGGGCCCTCACCATTTTTGTTTTGTTTTGTTTTTCCCCATTGTTCTTGAGACATGCACATCTCTATTTATTTGAATAATGGTGGATTAGAAACTTGTCTTATTAGTTCAGTCGCCTATAAATCACCAGAACTGAAAGTAATTTTATTTTTTGTTAGTACAATTACATTTTTGTTTACATCCAGTACATGTGATGATTATTGTTTTTCTTATGATTACTGTTTAAAAGTAAACTACCGTATTTTTTTGGACTATAAGTCACTCCGGAGTATAAGTTGCACCAGCTAAAAAATGCGAAATGAAGAAGAAAAAACATATATAAGTTTTTTGGGGAAATGTATTTTGTAAAATCAGAGACCAGGAACCGACATTTCATTTTGAAAGGCAAGTTACAGTAAAAACAACAGAATATTTTAACTGTTAATATGTTAACGTAACATATCAACAGTTATTCAGATAATTATAGCATAAACAACAGAACATAAGTTTACCAAACTCACGATCTCACTCCACGTCACTAAATCCATTGAATTCTTCATCCTCGGTGTCACTTCTGCGCAACTTCTGGAGATAAACCATAGATCCATGAGGTAAACAGAGCGCCGCTTCCTCTTCTGTGTCGCTGTCATCAGACTCGGCATCAGTTCCAGTTAGAATTATTCCGGCCTTTCTGAATCCCGACAGGATGGTTTCGATTGTCACTGAAGTCCAGGCTTTGTCGATCCATCCAGTGACTTCAGGAAAGTTGCATGGTGCATCCTCCCTGTTGCCGTGAAGCTGTGTTCTTCATCCCCGCTTTCCTCCAGTCAATCACAAGTTTCTCGCTCACTCCAAACTTTCTTTCTGCTGCTCAATTACCGTTTTTGGCTGAATATTTCACTATTTGCAGCGAGATAGCGGCTATTTCTACAGGAGACATGCGCAGTAGAGTGAAGTGACAGTGGTACAGGAGTAACAGGAGCAGCAGAAACTGACACACAAGCCTAGAGCCTTTCACGGCTGTCAGTCTGAAAATTAAAATATATAAGTCGCACTGGAGTATAAGTCACAGGAAACACCTAAACCATGAAAAAAAATGCAACTTATAGTCTGAAAAATACGGTACTCTCATTTAATGTCATTTTGATCAAATTGCTCTGAGGTCTTGGCCATTTAGTGAGACTGAGGGCAACTGGTTGGGGGCCCCTGGAGGTTTGGGGTCCCTAGACAGCCGCCTACTTTTGCCTAATGGTAGCACCACCTCTGGTTCAACCAGAATCAGACCCAAAAAAACTGGTTTTGTTTAAAGACGAGGAACTGCACTTCTATGTGGTATTAACTGTTTACACATTTAGACCACCATGTTACCTTTTATTGTTTTGAAAATGATATATTTGCCAAAAAACTACATATTAACAACTTTTATATGTTTAACTTTCATGTCTCCCCTCCTTTTGCTCTTCGCGCTGAATCACTCCCCCTTCAGAGCACTATCACAATCATCGACCTGGCGACGAACACCGTTTTATCTTAAGAACAAAGCAGGAAATGAGCCAAAGCTTTAATTAACATAATACATTAATTTCATTTAAGTGGACCTATTCTGCAAATTCAACTTTTTAGAGCTTTTAAGCATATTGTAGTTGTTTCCCCTCACCATTTACGTACTCAAAATTCAATTTGGGGTGATTCATGGAGTTGAGCAATCTTTAATCGCTAATTTTCAAGATGTAATTTTGGAGATCGACTTCTGTTTTTACCACCACTGGCACATGTCCACTGCTCTGTACTTACTTTATTCTGCAATTTGATTTTCTTAACTATTGACACGTGTAAGATTTGGCAGCATCTCAATGTCACTTTGATAAAAAAAAAAAAAAAAAACAATGGTAGTACGATCTGCAGCTATCCATCGTACGTGCCGACATCTTCAAAGCTCTTTGTTGTGATGATTTTACGGCAGGGGTCACCAAACTTTTTTCTCTGGGGGCCACATTATTGTTCCTGAGTGTGATGGAGGCCGGAGTCGGGTCGGTCGTGTAACAGAATTGTTTGACCCTGACGATGTAGAGTTTATTCTTTGAAAACCTCCACACGTTCTTTACATATCAGACAAACTGCATGGTTCTTAGACTGAACAAAAAAATAATCGGTCGTCCACTGTTCTTTGAAAACTCAGCACTCTGTCAACTTTTTGTACTTTAACATGAGACATTTTGTTGTCCTTAATTGCACTACAGAACTCTGCAAGTGCGTTGACGAGTTTGTCAGGTGATGAAAATTTGGCGGCAAATGTAAATATGTCATATAATTATTTCAATATAAATATAAGAACTTCATATATATATCATTTTTTTATTGAAAAAAATCAACAAAATACAAGATGCAGATGTAGTCCCATGAGGTTCATTTGGTCTTCTGATAATTTATGTTATTAGGTTCTTTTTTAAGACCAAGAGCTTGTTTTCATTCCTGACAGTTTCAGCTGCTCACGTGACTGCAGATGGCGCTGTCGTCCTGCCTCCGCCGGTAGGAAGACAGCGCCAAAACCTGTATAAACCATCTGACCGGACACGTCACAGCAACATCACGTGACTCTGAGGAAAACCGCAGGGAGCAGTCGAAACTGTGGGGAAAACAAACTCTTGGTCTGAAAAAAGAGCCTAATAACATAAGATGCAGACGTGTCATTATTTGCCAAAAAGTTATTTTTAAAAAGTAGGCCATGACAAGTTTTGAGGATTGCCTCATAGGGCCAGTTCAAGTGGTGGGGGGCAGAGAGGCTGGGGGGGTGTTCACATTGGCTCCCTTTGGGCATCACAGTTTTCTAACATGGAAGTCAGCGAATTTGTTTCTTTTCCTAAGTAGTTTTAGATGAATACTGTGTTTTAAAATATGCAAAAACTTAATGATCCACAGTGTCATAGATTATAACTACTGCAGACACAAGCACAATATGTCCTCTTTAACTCTTTCCCCCATGAAGACGACATTTGACGACCCCCCTGAACCCTTAATGACGACTTTTGACACCTCCGCTGTATCACTAAAGACGTGATTTGACGACCTTTAGAAATGGCTCGGTTTTTCACATTTAAACAGAGACTGCGATAGGTGGGGGCCACTACAACCCACACTAGACTGACCATTAGGATTCAAGGATATGTTTTCGCCGATTTTTTCCGAAGTTAATCGAAGTAGTGACGATGGTAGCTTCCGGAAAAAAACACAACACGAAACACGTGTAATGGAAAGATCGCGCTGCGGCGCACAGTTTTAGAAATAATGAGGAGCGGACGTATTTTATGGATAAGTTTAGAGAAAGTGACTTTTATAGATTTCAAAGTGATGATGAGGGTGATTATAAAGTGGAAAACAGCGATAGCGACGGACTTACACAGAGTGAAACTTATGAAGATGAGAACGCCGCTGATGCGTCTGTATGGAGTCCTGCGATATCCGAACAAACTATCCGGGCTTTATACTTGATTATGAACCAAAATTGCCCTGAAATCACTCGTGGAAGTCTGTTTTCTTTTATGCAATTATGCTCTATGGGCAGCCCTAGTAACATATGTATGGGTTGTTCCTAGTAGGCGTCCAGGGGGGAAAGAGTAAAAACTTGCCAAACTCACTTCACTTAATAAAATAATAACAAAAAGTGCTCCTTACCAGACCAGTGTCCAGTGGAGGCTCCGGAGCGGTCGGTGCAGGTGTTGCTCACGGGCAGGAACACGGTCTCCCAGCCGCCGGGCGCGTACCTCCAGTTGTGGGACTCCAGGATGAGGGTGCGCTGGGTGCCGTAGGCGATCATGAAGCAGTAGACCACGTGGTGCAGCTGGCAGCCGTACCCACAGCCCTTGTTGATGTTACACACCAGCTTACGGGCCTTGCTGCAGTCGGGAGGGTTCTGTAAGGGAGAAAAAAACAAGAAATTAAGTTTTTGTTATAGTAATGACTATCATAATTTCCAGACCTTATATATAAGCCGTTACTTTTTTCTCACACTTTGAACCTTGCATCTTATAGAACGATGTGGCAAATATATAGATGGATTCTTTGTTCGGCACATTGGTCTATGGTTTTGCAACATAGCTGATACGTGCAGTGCAGAAAACACATTGATCTAGGGTTAACGTGAAGTTGCAGCATTAGCAATGTCGTCAGCGCACTCAAACAGTTTATTGCCATGTGATAAAATAAGTTATGATGCTAACTTAACATTAGTGAGGGGAATACGTCTTAATGACCCGTATGCTAGGGTGACCAACTGTCCGTTTTCCCCTGGACATGTCAGTTTTTTGCGTCCTGTCCTGGGGGTCCGGGTTTTTTTGTGTTTTTTTTAAGTGGTGGAAATGTCTGGGTTTTCATGATCTTTCACTGGGCTCTCGTAGCTCTCTGTAACTCAGAAGGAGTGGACAGACACAAACAGTCTGTCAGTCTGCAACATGCCAAAGCGCAAATGTGCATTTAACAATGACTTGTACAAGAAATTCCCTGTTTTCTATCCCGGCTGGGACAAGTGGGAGGCCATGTGCACAGGTTGCGAGCTGGAGTAGCTCAATGTCGAGGCCCCACCCACAGTAAGGTGTCCAGGTTTTCACAAATGGAAATATGGTCACCGTACCATATGCCTTAAATGCAGATGAGTGTGTAAGTGATGAGAAGAAACGTCTCAAACTTCAGTATCTGATCAATAGAACTAACCTAGCCCCGGGAAAGCTGAAATCTACTGAAATCTACAAGACACTGACACATGGATCTGGTACGTGAGTTCGGCATCAAGGAGTCGATGGTGAGATTCTCGCGACGGCAGTGTGAAGAACCGACTCAAACCAAAAAGACGACATAAGTTTTCAGAGGCGATAAAAGCAGATGGCCTGACCTTGAAAACGTTCTTAAAGACGTGGACACCTGTGGCTTATATTCAGGTGCAGCCTATAGTCCAGAAATTATGGCAGTTTTATAAAAAATATGCAGACTTGATCATTTGCTCGTTGTGTGATTTACGCAAATGTTTTTATGATATTGCAAGCTGGGTCAACAAATAGACCTAAACCAAGACCGAGGTGGGTTGAAACTAGGTCAAAAGTAGATCTAAACCAAGACCACACAGGATTAAAACTAGCCTAAACTTGGTCTAAATCAGGTAAAAACTCATACCATTGAATGTTATAATAACTTGGGGTTTGGGTCCATACTGGGGAGCGATACACCAATACCGATATTGGTTAGTGCTTCTTCTCAATTTCATTTCTCTCCAGCGACAAGGTCAGGAATCGGAATACACTAGACGGTTTGCAAGAACATCGGAAGTTGTAGATTGCGCACCGACCAATCAGCAAAGAGCTGTGAAGCCATGACGTCAAACTCAAGCTCCTGTCTGTGTCCCTTTTGTGGTACAGCACAACAGTAATCGAAACGGTCGAGATGGATGTAGATGAAGACAGACATTCTGTGTTGACAACGATTCCTGAGATTGAGGATTAAAAGCCAGAACAAAGAGAATGTTTGGTGAATTTTAACAAGGGGAAAGACGTTATTGTCATTCTTCCGATGGGATTTGGTACATACGTCACGACCAAATAGCAGCGATTGGTTAAATTAAAAAAGTACCCGCCTACCATTGAGCGAACGAATCCTAATGCTGCGAGGTCAGACAGTTTCCACAAAGTGAAACCGGTTAATGAATCAATCTATAAAAAATCTGTGCTGATACTTAAAACTTTGCTGAATGAGGTATCTGTTCCGATGATATGGGTTCAGTTGAGATCCTGAATGGTCTTTATTGGATGGAATGAAACTATTTACAGGCTGATTTCGTCCTAGAACGTCTCATAATGTTGGAACTTTTATCCACACAAAGCAGTAGTTATCTGAAGGAAAATAACAGTGGTATGACACATTTAGATCTCTTGTGCAGTGTTTTGAGGAAATAAGTGCCATTTTCAAAGTTTTCAGGCTGGAATCCCCAAAATAATTTCAAATGGCAAACATTTAAAGGAGACACACTGAGCAAAATTTACTTTAAAGAGCTTGTAAATGTCAGAATGGCTTCCCTTTGCATTTAACATTTCGAAAATTGTTTTTAGAGTGATTCATCCATGTTTGAGTTTTCTTTTTACAATCAAGACACCATTGCCATCACCAAAGCGCCACTAAACATTAAAATCCATATTCATTCTTTGTGGCACTTTGTAAAAAAGCAAAACACAAGGCAAACCTGTGAGTTCAAAGACGTCTTTTAGCGTTATTCGTTTGACAGATACATCGGGTTCCGTAAAGCAGCGACAGAATGAAAAGTGAAATTTGCTTCTGTGACTTTTGTGTTGATCTACTGCTACTGTTTTTTTCCCGCTGTTCAGAAGCACACCGTAAATAACTGTAATAAGTCAGAACTTCAGAATCCATTAAGCCCACTTCAGATGATTAAGGCCTTAATACGAAATTAAACTATAAGCTTGATTCATTAAAAACTTCTGCAAGTATATTTGAAAAAATACATCATAAAAACACGGAAATTTAAATATAACACAAAAAATGACATAAATAACTCATCTCTATGATTTAAAGGACCCACATAACGATTTTCTTGTCTATGGCTACGTTTATATGATGATGGTCTGAAGAGAAGATGCAAAAGTGGCGTCGCATCTTCACTTTTTATTCCGCGTTTAGACGAGTGTTTTCAGGAGGAAATCTGCGTGCATACGGTGACGCAAAAGTGGAATTTGATTAGGTATGTTTGTACTTAAAGCAACAAGGGCGTCTTTGGACATACAGAAGTTTTCACGTCACGCGTTTTCATCAGCTACTCCTTCCACAAAGTTGTTCCACCATCGACCGGTTCTCCAGGTCTCGTCCATATCCGTCTGACTCGCCTGCGACGAACTGGTGCATCCAGAAATTGACAGAGGTGACTGCAGATCTACGGAAGCCGAGAAGGGTCACAACAAACGCAAACGCCGCAACAAATACAAATGCGACAACACAACAAAAAGCCACAACAGAAATGACTGCGGGACTCTATTTTAATGCAAATGCTGCAACAAATACAACGGCCAAAACGCAAACGCAAACCCCGCAACACATTAAAAAGCCACAACACATCAAAAAGCCACAACGGAAGTGACCGCGGGACTCTATTTTCTGACGGACTGATCAAGCGGCAAGTGAAGAAGAAGAACTACAACGTGAAACATAAAGGAACGGAGAAGTTGGAAAGGTAAGCAAAAGTAATTTATTGTTTTATCATTATTCGTTTCACGTTGTAGTTCTTCACTTGCGGCTTGATCAGTCCGTCGGAAAATAGAGTCCCGCGGTCATTTCCGTTGTGGCTTTTTGTTGTGTTGTTGCATTTGTATTTGTTGCAGTGTTTGCGTTTGCTGCGGCCCCTCTCGGCTTCCGTACAGATCCTTCTCTGTTCACTAATAGTATCTCTGCAGATTCTGTACATTTGTTGGGAGCCTCCTGTAAGTTTATTAGAGCTGACAGAGCAGTTTGAAGGTCCGACGCATGGAAATGATCCGACATGTTTGTTTCTGTGTACTGTATGTATGCGACGTAAACACATACGTGACATGAGTAGATCTGACCAGAGTTTTGCGTCTTGGGCAGTGTAGACGAAAACGCTACGGCGGAGCATATTCAACTTTTCCACTCTGGAGGGTGGCGTCATATTTTTGTGTTTTTAAGTCCCAAAAACGCCCTCACCGTCTAAACGAAAGGCACTTCCGATAAAATATTTTGTCATTTTTACCCGCAAGTGTTCTCGTGTAAACAGGCCCTAAGGTATAATGTTGTTTTTTCATCACAAACAAACCTGGAGTTGTGTTTTATTTCATTCACACGTTTGACACACAAACTCTTTCTTCTCTCAAACAACACTCTGAAAACACTCTGTTCCACCTTGTGATGTCACATTGCCATGAACAGCCAGTCCCTTCTACATAGAGCGTGAAAAAACATCCAAACTTGAGACGGTCCAACCACTTGTATTACCTCTCCAAACTTCTCCTAACAATTCAGAACAAAATATATAACTTCTTTAACCTGACATAAGTAATAGTTTGGTGCTGTGAAGGTGGATTCCATAAAAATCTGCACTGTTTCTCAACCTTTATGTAAATTTTCTCTCTTTTTTACATCTACCTGTCAATCACGCCCTCTGAAATCCACTCGTCTTTGTAAAGTTTTGCCAAAGTGTGTCGTTCTGGCTGCTCGGGTTCAATGTCATGTGGTAAAACAGGAAGTGCCCCACTGTGTTTTGAAACTCCATGCGCCTTCACTCGAATTTGGATAAATTCACCTCCAGAATTGCCAATCTGTACCGAACTAAAGGTAAAAGGTAGCTTAACTTGAAAACTACCACTACATGACAACACAAGGTGGAAGAGAGCACTTGGAGCTTTGGAGAGGTAGAGGGACTAATAATGCAATGTTATTCAAAAATACGTGAATGAAAACACAAGCTCACATTAATCAATTTTCCAATCCAACTTTATTTGTATAGCACATTTTACCAACACTATGTTTATATGATGAAGGTCTGAACAGAAGACGCAAAAGTGGCGTCGCGTCTTCACTTTTTATTCTGTATTTAGACGAGCGTTTTCGGGAAGAAATCTGCGTGCATACGGTGAAGCAAAAGTGTGTGGAATTTGATTGTGTATACTTGTACTTAAAGCAACAAGAGCATCTTTGGACATAAGGAAGTTTTCACGTCGTGCATTTTCATCAGCTGCTCCTTCCACAAAGTCGTCCCACCATCGACTGGTTCTTCAGGTCTCGTCCATATCCGTCTGACTCACCTGTGATGAACTGGTGCATCCAGAATTTGACAGAGGTGATTGCAGATCCTTCTCTGTTCACTAATAGTATCTCTGCAGATTCTGTACATTTGTTGGGAGC